CAGTATTTTTGTGTTGGAGTAAGACCTTACCAACGGAAGCCTGCTAGGGTCAAAATGCCCTGGGGAGTGCAAACTTTAGCAACATAACAAGCACATGAGACTCCAATGGCAACAAGTGAAGAGGTAAATGTATAAAACAATAACATTTAAGAATGACAAAAGTTTTGTAACCGTTTGTTACAAATCAGTAAATGCATTTTGTCCTCATGGGTTTTCGTAGAAGGAAACATGGCATCTAATATGGCGTCGCCCAGAGACTTAGACCCGCTCCCATGTATTTTAGACCTGATTTTTATGGTTATATGTTATGAAGTCACCAATATTTTTCAACACCTGGGAATCGTTTCATTCATTTTCAACAACATTTTGATGGATATTTCCAGAAATGAATGGTAAAAACTACACATTGTCTCTTTAAAGTGTTTAAAAACTCTTTGGCGCTGCTTAATGATCTGTGAAGAGTCCAGCAAAAGCTCAGCCAGCACACATAGGTGGGCCCCATATGGAATATATATGGGCAAGCCATTTGGGGCCCACCAGGGTTTGTCAGTGGTTTCCATGGTGGCCTAACAGTTTGCCCAGAAAGATTTTTGCCCACATACAGATGATGTTAACAGGTCCTACATGGGTTTCTGAGCATTTAACTCAAACACCAGCCCATTAAAAATGTAGAATTTTCATATTTTTAACCCTCCCACTGTCCTAATGGGTGTGGCCCCGCGAGGAAAGTTGGCCATTGAGCAGGGTTGATGGCTTATCCCTTGGGTCCATGTGGCAGGGGTGAGGAATGAGCACCACCTCATCCCTGCCACATGGACCTCAAGGGATAAACCATCAATCCTGCTCAATGGTCAACTTTCCTCGCGGGGTCACCCATAAAGAGGGTTAATTGAGAGGGTTAATCAAGTTTTAAAAGGCTGATTTATCAAGACCTTTTCTTTTTGCTAAATTGTTAAAATCACTTCAAATCATCACAACGCTAAATTTATATTTATGTGAATGGGTATTGAAGTAAAAAGTATTAAAATTATTAATGCATGGGAAGAGTTGCTCTCTTGCGTTTAACTAGAGCTAAGGAAGAGATGAGTTCATTTTATTTTATTTGAAGTGATCCAGAAGCAGGAGCTACTTTTTCATCCAGTCCTAACAATCCAGGTCAACATTGATTTTGTTTAATTCCTTTGCAAAGTTTGAGCAGGATTCCTGCAGAACAAATCCATCCTGTTCTGCTCCACTTTGAGCCAATTGTCAGTGACTGGCATGGTAGCAAATTAAACAATGACAAAGCAACAAAAAGTAAACATTTTCGCCTGTTCCAAAGACCACCAACATATCGATTGCAACTGATCCAACTATGCAATGATGTCAGGCCACATTACCACTTTGTTTGTGAGATTTTGACAAAGAGGTGAAGCTGGAGACAGGTTTCTGATAGCACAACCACAGTGACCAGGAGGAGGGAATCAAGCTAATCAAGCCATAAGGAAATGGAGCCAGTGGTCAGCAGCCATCCGCAGTAATGGACAGCCAGTCTGACTCTAGGTGGTTAAAAACAGCTTTGTGACAGTCAACATAATTAAGAAGCATTTCAAGTTTGTTCTGTTACATTTTCTGGGCATCTGTTTGTTTTTGCTGTGATTCGGACCGGTCTGTGTGACAGCGTCGTGAGTTTTAAGTCAACCGGGTCTGAAATTGCCTCTCCTTTCCGCCAACTCTGTCACCTGCTAGCAGCCAGGCATAAAATTAACAAACCCGTTCTCCTTCTCCCTCGCATTAACATTCAGGCTCGAACAAATCTGGTGAAGTTAGAGGGTAGAACGGACATTAACAATGTAATTTTCTGATCTCAACAGGGACTTTTCACCCAGCTGTCTCTTTCTACACATATCAGAGTCAAAGGCCGGAGCATAGAGGATGATTAGACCGATGATGAAACTGCAAGTGCTGCTAATATTTTCAGAGCAGACGCTTGTCTTTGGGACAAATGGCAGTGGGGTTTAGGTGACCACCAAAAAGAAGTTCATTATGAGAAAACGGCTAAAAACATCCAAATAATAGTTTGTAACTAATCAAAAGGGTCATAAATTGTCAAATCTCAGAAACATGCAATTATGCATTGTTGATGTGAAACAGCAACAAATTATTTTGATCTAGAACAGTTTTAATTCGATTTCTGGACTTTAGAAAAACACAATCTTTTCTACATATGAAGAACTCATTAGAACCCATTTCAGACTTCTATTAATAGTAACTGAAAGTTTACTCAACACCTACAAAAATACACTCAAATCATGTTCTAAATATCTAAATAATAAGGGTGGGAGATTGTAGATAAGGTTTTATTACAGTTACAAAATGATAATAATAATAATAATGTATTATGTTGTTAAACCAAATATTACTCAAAAAGCAGATATTTTTGCTTCTTCTTGTTTCCTTTTACCTCCTAGGGCCCTGTGTCCACATATGTGGACATTGGCTCCTTGCACTGTTATTCTCTTCTAATTAGAACTTTTTGTTGTTATTTATAGACACTTTATATTGACTTTAATTTAAAAAAATGTTTTGTTGTCTTTCTTTTTTTAGGGTATTTGACAACATTTTTATTTGATTAATTTTTATTGAATTTAAATTTATGTAACTTTGTTTCTGTTAATTACAGCCATCTAATCTGTAATAGATATGTTTTTTTCTTTTAAATCAAACCAAATACAAATATTGGGGCAACGGTGGCACAGGAGTTAAGTGCTCGCCCCGTAATCGGAAGGTTGCAGGTTCGAGCCCCACTCAGTCTGTCGCTGTCGTTGTGTCCTTGGGCAAGACACTTAACCCACGTTGCCTGCTGGTGGTGGTCGGAGGGACCGGTGGCGCCAGTGCTCGGCAGCCTCGCCTCTGTCAGTGCGCCCCAGGGCAGCTGTGGCTACATTGTAGCTCATCATGTGTGAATGTGTGAGTGAATGACTGATTGTGCTGTAAAGCGCCTTGGGGGGCTCCAGGACTCTAGAAGGTGCTATATTAAATACAGGCCATTTACCATTAAATATGGGTCCCAGGAGGTTAAGGACAAATGAGGACCAGGGTCTGAGGTTTGCTTGTTGCTTGTTGTGACCACTTGTGCTCTAATAGGTCGCTAAAAGCATTTAAGGTGAAACAGAAATGTGCTGAAATAAAGAGCGATGCTGGCTCTCTCTGCTGTTGGAAGAACAGAACTGCAGCTTTAAGAGGGATTTAAAAACCTCATGAAGACTTTTATTTCCTATCATACAAAGCTATTATTTAAGTATTTAATCAGAAAATGACTAATTTAGTCGTTATTTATTCGTTCATGTATGGAGATATGAATAAAATTAAACCCAAACACAACTAAACTAACAATTAACAGGTTAGAAATGCAGTTATCTACTTATTGTTTTTGTCTCAACAAATGTATTTAAAACAAAAATGTGTAGGCCTACCTTTTTATTCAAAATCAATGATTATTTTAGCTGTATTTGGTTTTAGCTTATTTTTTTGTGTAGTTTGTCGTAGACCGTGGCATCCGAAGACAATGTTTTTCCTTTTTTAAAAGTGTAACCAGTAGTTTTTAAAGAATAATTAAATGTCTGTATGGAGGCATGTGCTGATTTAGTCATTTGAACTAACAACCAACAGTTTAACACATTTAATTATAAATTACAAATTTATGCAGGTTACATTTTGTAACTCCATCCATCCATTTTCTGAACCTGCTTTGTCCACGTAGGGTCGCAGGGGGGCCTGGCGCCTATCTCCAGCGGTCAACGGGCAATCCATTTTGTAACTATGTATATTAATATATCTTATAATTTAGCAAGAGATTAATCTTCAGTTCGCAGTAGATGAAGTTTCGCTCTAAGTCCGCTAGAGGGCATATGATCCGTTTGTAGCACTGTAGCTAGCTGGTGATAGCTCTTGCTTTAGCTTCTTCATTTAACCTTGTTAAACACAGATAACTAAAATAAATTTGAGTTTTAAGAGTTAAGTAGTTTGTATAAGAGAAAGTGAGCTGTCTTTCACGTTACCAAGACTAACTGTTGTCAACGCTAATGTAAAGGCCAGTCATTTTTAGTGGTGTTTTATTTTGAAGGAATCTAGAGGAAGCGAAGACTGTAGTAACAACATGTGACCTCTAGAGGGCAGAGGAAATCCTTTCTTTCAAATGCCAGATGCTAGAAGACCGAATTCTCCTGTATTTTTCTTGTTAACCTAAATAATACATATAAATCTCATATAGAGTATACTGCCATCAATTCAAATTGATTACAAGGAATTAACAGGAATAACAATAATGTAATTGTATTTCAGAATGTATAAACTACTAAAAAAAATAAATAAAAGAATAACTACTGAGTACCAGAGAAATGGAGCCTAAACTGAGAATAACTACGGAGTACCAGAGAAACGGAGCCTAAACTGAGTGGGTTGTCCAGTAATCGGAATTGGAAGGTTGCAAGTTCGACTCAGAGAATTATGCTGTACCCTTGGGCAAGCCACAACCCACCTTGCCTGCTCGTGCCACTGAATAGCAGGCCTGGTCAGTGCACTCCAGGGCAGCTGTAGCTACACTGTAACTCATCAGTGTGTGAATGTGGGTGTGAATGGGAGAATGACTGGTTGTGTGAAGAAGGCGCTGTACAAATACAGGCCATTTAGGCCAATTATCAGAGTTGGAGTTTGGGAACAAATAAGTTTGTGAAAACATCTTAATACATCATTGGTTGTGCTAATAAACTCACACTGAAAGTATTTTCTTTATTAGTCAAGTGGATTCAAATAGGAACTATTGTTTTTTTTTTAAACCACAGGTTTAAATTTCCCCATGGAAGAGTGTCCTCCATGCTGCATCAGCAAGAGGATTATCTAAATATACACATTTTAGAGCTTGTATAAGCTGCAGCCGTGTTCTTGAGTTGGGTTGACAGCAAAATATTACTAGTTCAAATTCTGCCCAAATGTTCAATATCAGGAAATAAACAATAAAGTCGCATATCTTGTTTATTTTCATATATGCATAATAAATTAAAGCTATTTTTTGTCTGATAGCAGATATTAAATCATACATCTGAGCAAATAATTAAATTAAATAAATTCCTCAAACATATCAGTGCAAAACAGCTAAAGCCTAGTTCATTGAAATGAAACATCTTAATTTTCTTACTTTTAAAAAAGTGAGTGGTTAGCAAATAAGTTAGACAATAAAAACAATTCAAAAATGGCAACTGTAAACAACAGCACTGATGTTAACCTGTTTGTTTTGTACTTTGCAGCAAAGCATCAACTTATAAAACTTAACCTCATATTAACATTTACTTATAATTTACAATTTCTACAGGATATTCGTATGAATCAGGGGTTTTCTGAACATTAGACATTTAGGTCTCTGGATTTCTGCGCATTATTTATTTCTAAATAACTGAAATTATGAATGAGTATTTACAGACATTTTGGGTATTTATGTTGAGCTTCACAGCTCAAATGCACCCCTTTTGGGGGGGGGGGGCATGAATGTGAATTTATACGCAGAAACTCAGAGCACCGATTGTGTGTTGTAAACACACACACACACACGCACACACTCACTCACTCACTCCTGTTGCTTGGATGATCAAACCACAGTCCTGTTCAATGAGAGGGGCTGAACTGGGATTAAAAAGGTAACAAATTCATCAGAAACTACAAAATTCCTCATCTATTCACCAAAATCGTCTCATTCATCCATGTTTTTGTTACACCCCACCTATTCTACAGCTCAAGTTACTATACGTAAATCACCAATCCTACTTCTGAAATGTGTCCTTTAAATGAACCCTAATCTTAATTTGTCTTCATCTTGTTCCATAAATCTCATGTCTCCTCCACCAACTTTAGGCATCTACTAGTAGCACCCATGAGCATCGCTAGCTTCTTATTTCTGAAATACCAGACAGACCCACACACACACACATAGACACACACATACAAAACAAAAAGATCATGTATCTGGAGGGCAGAGTAGCTGTACGGATTGAAGATGTGGATGAGGACGTGCTGCTCATTAACTGTTGAATTTAAAGTCGTGTAAATCGTTCCTATGAGGAGTAAAACCCTGAAAGCCTCAAACTTCAGACTACTTAATGCAAAGAAATGATTGCACAACAGGGTGGTTCTTCGGTGGTTCAGAACAAAAATAAAAACATCTAATTTTAAAAAGAATCCAGAGTTTCTGATATTTCTCATGCTGGGCATGGCGTCCACATGCCCCGCCCTCCCCGCTCCACCTGGACCCTCTGTTAGCAGTCGGACACCTCGGACGTGTTGGAGTCACTGGTTAGTTTCCTGCGCTGCCTCACAGATTTCTCCTCATCCTGTAAAGCAAAAAGCAGGTTTTTTATTTAAACAACGAGTGAAAGTTGCAGGTTAGAAACTTTTGTTGCTCTGGTGTGGTGAGTAGTTTTATGTTTGCTGATTCATGTTTAGTTTATAATTAATGAGTATGATCTCATGATCTTTCTTCTGACAATCAGTCAGAGTTCTGGTTAAATCGCTGACATTTTCAGGCGTGTCGGTTTCGTGTTGTATTTTTGCAGCTTCTGGGACACGTCAATCTCCGCAGTTAAAATGGGACTAAACGGGAAATCAACGGGCTGCCACCTTCCCGTGGTGGAGGGGTTTGAGTGTCTCAATGATACTAGGAGCTAAGATGTCTAAGGCTTTCTGCCTCTGGTAGGGTCACCCATGGCAAACAGGTACTAGGTGAGGGGTCAGACAAAGAGCAGCCCGAAGACCTCTTATGATGAATTATATAAATGGAAACCGTGTTCCCTTGCCCGGAAGTGGGTCGCCGGGGCCCCCTCTGGAGCCAGGCCTGGAGGTGGGGCACGTTGGCGAGCGCCTGGTGGCCGGGCTTTCACCCATGGAGCCCGGCCGGGCACAGCCCGATGAGGAAACATGGGTCCGCCTTCCCATGGGCTCACCACTCGTGGGAGGGGCCAAAGGGGTCGGGTGCAGTGTGTGACGGGTGGTAGTCGAGGGCGGGGACCTTGGCGGTCTGATCCTCGGCTACAGAAGCTGGCTCTTGGCACATGGAATGTCACCACTCCGGGTGGGAAGGAGCCTGAGTTGGTGTGTGAGGTTGAGAGGTTCCGACTAGATATAGTCGGACTCACCTCAACGCATGGCTCTGGCTCTGGAACCAGTATCCTTGAGAGGGGTTGGACTTTCTAACACTCTAGAGTTGCTCCCACTGAGAGGCGCCGAGCAGGGGTGGGCATACTAGTTGCCCCCATCTTGGTGCCTGTACGTTGGGGTTTACCCCGGTGAATGAGAGGGTAGCCTCCCTCCGCCTACGTGTGGGGGGACGGGTTCTGACTGTGGTCTGTGCTTATGCACCAAACTACAGTTCAGACTACCCACCTTTTTTGGAGACCTTGGAGGGGGTGCTGGAAAGCGCTCCTTCCGGTGACTCCCTCGTTCTGTTGGGAGACTTTAATGCTCATTTGGGCAACGACAGTGAGACCTGCAGAGGTGTGGTCGGAAGGAACAGCCCCCCTGATCTGAATTTGAGTGGCGTTTTGTTATTGGACTTCTGTGCCAGTCATGGATTGTCCATAATGAACACCATGTTCAGACATAAAGGTGCCCATTTGTGGTCTTGGCACCAGGATACCTTAGGCCGCAGCTTGATGATCGACTTTGTTGTTGTTTCATCTGACCTGCGGCCGCATGTCTTGGACACTCGGGTGAAGAGAGGGGCGGAGCTGTCAACTGACCACTACCTGGTGGTGAGTTGGCTCAGATGGTGGGGGAGGATGTTGGTCAGACCAGGCAGGCCCAAATGTATCGCGAGGGTCTGCTGGGAACGTCTGGCAGAGTCTCCTGTCAGAAGGAGCTTCAATTCCCACCTCCGACAGAACTTCCAAAATGTTCCGGGGGAGACGGGGGACATTGAGTCTGAATGGACCCTGTTCCATGCCTCCCTTGTTGAGGCGGCCGACCGGAGCTGTGGTCGCAGGAATGTCTGTGCCTGTCGTGGTGGAAACCCCCAAACCTGCTGGTGGACACCGGTGGTTAGGGATGCTGTCAAGCTGAAGAAAGAGTCCTATCAGGTGTTTTTGGCCTGTGGGACTCCAGAGGCAGCTGACAGGTACCGGCAGTCCAAGCGGAACATGGCTCGGGTGGTCACCAAGGCAAAAACGCGGGCATGGGAGGAGTTCGGTGAGACCATGGAGCAAGACTTCCGTATGGCTTCGAGGAGATTCTGGTTCACCATCTGACGCCTCGGGGGGGGGGGGGGGGGGGGGGGGGGAGCAGTGCGCTACCAACACTATCTATAGTGAGGACGGTGTGCTGCTGACCTCTACTCAGGACATTGTGGATCGGTGGGCAGAATACTTCAAAGACCTCCTCAATCCCACAGACAAGTCTTTCAGTGAGGAAGCAGAGTCTGGGGACTTTGGATTGGCCTCTCAAATCTCTGGTGCTGAGGTCACTGAGGTGGTTAAATAGCTCCTCTGTGGCATACTGGGGTCCCCGGTCGGAAACCACGTCCTGGTGGAAACCATGGAGCCGCTCCACCTGTTCGAGGAGCAGTTCGGCCATTCTCTTGGCAGTGGGGAGACCGGCCAGGGCCACCAAGTGCACGGCCTTGGAGAAACGGTCCGTGATGGTCAGTATGGTGTCCAGGTGGTTGACAACTGGCAGTCCCGTGACAAAATCCAGCCCGATGTGTGACCACAGCCGCTTGGGCACAGGGAGAGGTTGTAAATCTCCAGCGCCGGGTCGGTTAGATGACTTGGACCGTGCACACACATCACATGCAGCAGTGACCTCGCGGACATCCCTCCTCATGGAGGCCACCAGAGAGCCAGATGGAGGAACTGGAGGGTACGGGCTTGTCCTTGATGTCCCGCGAGCCGTGAACAATGCCCCCACGTGAGTGCCTCTTGTCGGCAGGAGGCTGGAATGTAGAGGCGGTTCGGTGGAGTCTCTGGAGGCGCCGGGTCGCCTGGAAGTGCTGCCCGTATGGACTGCTCCAATGGCCATTGGAGGGAGGCCAGGAAGCGTTGAGTCGGCAGAATGGTCAGAGGCTCCGGGGGGCTTGACTCTGGTGCGAAACGCCGAGAGAGAGCGTCCGCCTTGAGGTTCTTGGAGCCGGGCCGGTAGGCGATGTGAAAGTTGTACGGCTCGAAAAAGAGGGCCCACCGAGCTTGACGAGGGTTGAGTTGGCGGGCAGTCTGTAGATGGATGAGATTCTGGTGGTCGGTCCAGATCAGAAAGGGATCGGTGGTCCCCAAGAGCCACTGCTGCCATTCCTCCAGAGCCCATTTTATAGCCAGCAGTTCTCTGTCACCGACCCCATAGTTCTGCTGTGTGGGGGAAAACTTCCGGGAGAAGTAGGCGCATGGGTGGAGCTTAGAGTCTGGACCCCATTGCGAGAGGACGGCCCCTGCTCCCACATCAGAGGCGTCCACCTCCACGACGAAGGGCCGGGTCTGGTCCGGTTGGAGGAGGATGGGTTCTTTAGTAAAACATCCGACCAGATCCTGGAAAGCCCGGACAGCCTCTGGAGTAAGGCGAAAATGGCGAGGCTGGTTGGTGGCTTTGGTGAGTGAGGTCAGAGGCGCTGCGAGGGAACTGAAGTTGCGTATGAACCTCCGGTAAAAGTTCGAAAAACCCAGGAAGCTTTGCAGCTGCTTCAGGGTCGTGGGTAGAGGCCACTGAGCCACTGCCTGGACCTTCTGAGGGTCCATCTTCAGACCCTGGGAGGAGATGGTAAAACCCAGGAAGGAGGTGGATTCCTGGTGAAACGCACACTTCTCCAGTTTACAATACAGTCCATGATCTAGGAGGCGGGACAGAACAGCCCGAACATGCCGGTTTGCTCCTCGGACGTGCGGGAGTAGATGAGGATATCATCTAGATACACAAAGACCCAGCGGCCCAACATGTCTCTTAGCACATCAGTGATGAATCGCTGGAAGATGGCGGGGCTGTTGCAGAGGACAAAAGGCATCACTAAATATTCATAGTGGCCGGTGGGCGTGATAAACGCGGTCTTCCACTCCTCCCCCTCCTTAATACGGATCAGGTTGTACGCACTGCGCAGGTCCAGTTTAGTGAATACAGTGGCTTGGGTGATGGCGTCTAGGGCGGTGCCCATGAGAGGAAGAGGGTGACGGTCCCGGATCATTATTTTATTTAACCCTCTATAGTCAATTCAGGGCTGGAGATCCCCCTCCTTCTTCTTTACAAAGAAAAACCCTGCGGCCCCGGGGGATGTTGAGGGACGTATGAATCCCTTCTGGAGGGCATCAGTTATATAATTGTGCATTGCCCGGGTCTCCGCCGGAGAGAGGGAGAACAGGCGACCCCAAGGTGGGGTGGTGCCGGGCTGGAGCCCGATCTCCAGGTCATAGGGTCGATGAGGAGGTAGCCTGGTAGTGGGTTCTTTAGCGAAGACCTGAGCGAGGTCGTGGTATTGAGGAGGGACGAGCGTCAGGTCTACGTCCTTGGGTGGAGTTACTCCAGTCTGCGGTGTGGGGGAGCCATGGTGGTTCTGGCAACCCGCGCCCCAGGCCAGGACCTTGCTGGTGGACCAGGAGATGTGAGGCTCATGACGGCAGAACCAGGAATGACCTAGGATGAGTGGCGTAGCCGGAGCCTGGATGACCAGGAAGTGGAGGGTCTCCAGGTGTTGGTCAATAGTCATGTGGAGACCCTGGGTTTGGTGGGTGAGAGGGTAAGGCATGATAGGCCGGCCGTCCACGGAGGTCACAGGGATGGGTCGGTCGAGAGCTGTGAGGGGTATTTTGAGCTGAGTAACTAGTCATTGATCGATAAAACACTCCGCAGCCCCAGTGTCTAAAAGAGCCTCCAGTCTGGTCGGACCTTTGTCCAGGTGGAGGAAGACCGGGAGAGTGGTGCGGTGTGGAGCCGGAAAAGTGGAGACTCCGGGCGGGACAGCCCCTACTCCGACCCGGAGGGACCGTTTCCCGGTCTTTTTGGGCACGTGCCACGGTGGTGACCCAAATCCCCACAGTACACGCATTGTCCCTCTTGATAGCGCCGTGTCCGTTCCTCAGGGGGGAGATGTCCGAGCTGCATCGGCTCCTCCGTCGGTTGGTGAGCCAGACGGCGGGGTGACGTTCTGGTGTGGATGGGAGCTGACGTGGTGCTCGGCCTGTTCAAGATGCAGCGGTCCAGCTGGAGAGCCAGATCCAGGGAGGTTGGGGCCTCGTGTCCTATCATGCCCTGCCGGATTCTAGGTGACAACCCCTCCAGATAAACGACCTTTAGGGCAGCGTCAACCAATCTCAACCGAGCGGCTGTCGTCCGGAAGCGAGAGGTGTACTGAGCCGCCGTCTGGGAGCCCTGGCGAAGCTGAAGCATCCGAGTCTCGTCCGAGACCTCGCTGCTGGGGTGAACAAATGTCTTTTTCATCTCCTTCACAAAAGTCTCAGTCATTGCAGGCAGGAGATTTTTGATTATAAAGAGCCGCCGCCCATTCACCGGCTCGACCCGTCAGCAGTGAGGTCAGCAGGGCGACACGAGAGCAGGAAGTGGGGTAGCGTGCCGGCTAGCACTCAAAAGTCATTGCCAGGGTCGCCAGCATGCCCTCCGGGGACCCCCTGGTTCCGTCCCACTTATCTGGAAGACTGAGGCGTGGCTCCATCGGCTCAGAGACAGCCGAGGTCCGTCGTTGCAGGGCAGTAGTAAGCTGGAGAACTAGCTCGGTGAGTGATTCGATCTTGGTGGCTTGGCGATCAGCTACGGCACGGAGCTGGTTCATTTCTGCCGTATGCTGATCCATAGCTGCGCGCAGTTGAACCACTTCAACACGCAGACGAGCGAACTCCGCTGGGTCAACTTGGTACTCTGTCATCCTGTCGGGTTTGGTGGCAGAGCTGAAGCGTGGCTGAGAATGTCTGTTGCCCAGACGCGCAGTGGTGGGGATAAACAGCGTGGTTATATCCCTGAGGTTAGATTTGAAGGTTTGAAGGCTGGTAAGCCTGAGAACTCGATTCAAAGTCTGGTGAGAACGATGACAGAGTAATGAATGAAACGCCGGCACTTCCGTTTATAGTGTCGGCGTGATGAAGTCGGCGCCCACGTTGGTGGCAGGAATGTTGGGAAGTGGTGGCGAGAATGCTGGGAAATGGAGTCAGCTGGAGGAGTTCGTGACAGACAGGAAACGTGGGTTTAGAGGTGGCAAGCGCATGGAAAGGTGGAGGAGAATGAGAGACAAATTTGTCAGTGTTAAAAAGTCTCTTCCGTCAATCTGTGTGTGTCTGTCCCTTGCAGAGCTGACGAAGAAGCATGAATCAGGCATTACAACACATTCATTCCTACTAGAGACCACAGCAGTGGCTCAGAAGGTAGAGTGGGTTGTCCAGTAATCAGTAGGTTGCTGGTTCGATCCAGGCTCTGACCAGAGAATGCTGCTGATGTGTCCTTGGGCAAAACACTTAACTTGCCCTGCCTGCTGGAGCATGGAGGGACTTATGGTGCCAGCGTTCGTCAGGTCTCGCCTCTGTCAGTGCACCCCAGGGCAGCTGAAGCCACATTGTAGCTCATCCCCACCAGCGTGTGTGTGTGTGTGTGTGTGTGTGTGTGTGTGTGTGTGTGTAAATGACTGATTGTGTTGTGAAGTGCCTTGGGGGGGGGTTGTAGAACCCTAAAAAGGCACCATAAAAATACAGGCCATTTACCATTTTTGTACCATTTAGCAAATGTATTGATTAAACGAGTGTCCCACACCGTTAAAACAGTTCAATGTGATTACGTTCGTGTTTTTATTTAGTTGAGTAGTTTTTATTCCCACTCACAGTCTGAAAGATCCCGTTCTGTCCCCACTCTCCAGGGGAGTGGTCTTCAGCGTCCTCTGCTTCGTCCTCCTCTTCCTCGCCCTCTTCCTCTCTCACTGTGTCCATCGCGTCTTCCTCGTACTCTGTCAGACAGTCCGACTCCTCCGCTGAAATGAAACATTTGAAAGGACACATTAGGTGGCAGCCATGAAATATTCTTGACGTGCATTTAAAGACGACAGGAGAACTCGGAGTTATTTATTATGTCTGAATCCAACGTGGGCTCAAGGGCAACTGCGCTGAGTATGTAGACAAGTTTTTTCTTCAGGACTTGAGCAGATTTTGTTCTTAAAGAGAAAAAATAAAAGTGGGTAAAAGTTCTTTAGATTGTGACGATCGGTGACATTTTCTTCACCTTCTGTAGCGACGTAGCTCTGGACCGGCTCTATTCTGGATACAATCTCTGCTAGGTCGGTGAAGTCAGCTCCTGGACACGTGCAGGACTGAGAGACAACACATGTCAGAAATATTCCTGTGGTATTCATCAGGCTGTGTGTGAGATCTCCTCACATCCGTTCTCTTGCCATCATTGTAGTCAGCTGAGCGATGATCTCGGACCATGTTCTCGATGATGTCACCCCGAGCCCAGCCTGTGAACAGTAACTTGCCGTGCTGGAAGCCGACATCCTGTAGTTTATTTAAACGGATACAAAACTTTCAGTCTTTGGACCGATAGGCAACATGGATGAATAACAAAGTTTCTTTCAGGCATTTTAAGAATTCAGATGGGAAGAACACAGTTCACATCTGGTAGGGTTGATGAGCTAACAGCTAGTTCAGACCAAACTGTTGAATTAAAGCTACTTCAATCTCCTAAATTTCACATTGGCCTAATGCAGCAGTATTTTATAAATCTTTACATTCTGCAATTACAAGAAATTCTCTGTCTTACTGACGTGCAAATATCACCAGCAGCAGCTAAATGTGGTCTCTCTGCTGCACCCAGAGCTCAAATCTGGCAGGAATTTCTGAATTTTTCCACTAAAATAACCAAGTAATGTAATGTAGCGGAAATCCACATTTTATATCCTCAGATTAACTTTGTTTGGATTTACACGAAGGAGAACATAACTATTTTCACAAAGTTTTTCCTCTTACATTTAGCAAAAGAAAACAAAAAGGGGAATTTGAAACTGGCTCTCATGTTCGAACATCTGGCTAACTCCTACATTTTCTCCCAGGAACGTAAATTTTACCAAGTGACTTGTTTATTTCCCTCCTTAAGCAAATCGAAAAGACGGACATTATCAGGAATTGGTCTGGTCCATGTCATTTTGCCAAGACCTGCGGGAGAACACCTCCTTCTATACACCACAGACACCGTTGACCGCTGAGGTGCGAAAAAGTCCTACGGCCCCTGAAGGCCGCATTCAAGCTTCTGGACCGGCTGAACCAGCCCACAGGACACCTCTTTGGCGATGGAAAAAGGTCTGTGAAGCATCTCATCTGGCTGACTTTTGTGCTAAGCCCGATTAGTGAATTCAGATTAGTCCGTTTCTTTATGGCGTGTTTTTATTTTGATCCCAGATTCACGTTAGCCTTCAAGATCCCCTTTCTTCTTCTGCCATAACGAGCCACCCGAACACACACACACACACACACACACACACACACACACACACACACACACACACACACACACACCCTTGGTTCTCCTTTTAGAAATTATTCCCCATTTTTCTATGATCCTGGTGTCACCAAATTTCTACTTTCATTACGGATCAGTAATTTCCCATCACTGCCATAAAGCTTTGGGTTAACAATTTTCTTCCATGCATGAAAATATAAGCGGTGTTTGGTCCTTTTGTCAATGTATTAACTGATGTTGTAATACATTCACAAAACGTAAATAATGCCTGATTTTTGTCTAGCAATTCTCAGGAATATTTGACGCATTCTGTCAAGAATTCATCCTTTAGATTAATTTGTGGTGTTAACTCTGAGACTGATTACATTGCAAAGATATAGGTATTAAATCCAACGGTCCAGTTCCTGAAACTGGTGGTGCCCCGATTAATTAAGATAAGATTATAAACAAGCTAGCACCACGTCACATTTGAAATATAGATATAAATCTATATTTATCGCTACAGTAAACTATACATCAGTGTAACAGTTTAGAAAACAAGTCTGTTGCCTCTAATTACCCTCTGGGATTAATAAAGTATCTTTGATTTGATTTGGAATTTTTGAATATGGGAGTTATTTTAATTTGGTGGTAATAAACTTTGGTCCTGGTGCACGTGGGACTAGCCATTAGTTTATTAGCCCAGCAGAGCATACATTTGTGTCTTTTAAAACGAGGTCATTGATTAAGACATCAGGTGAGCTAGTGATGAACTTTTGTACTGAAACACACTTGGAAAGGGCAAAAAATCCATTTTACTCATTAATCCTTCCTATTTAATTTCTTTTTGTTCAAAAATGCTGTTTTAAAAAACAACTAAAACCACACCATGCTTATGAAATTACTCACATAGATCTCATCAAACTTCCCAAAATCCATGGTCTTAAAGCGATCAATGGGTGGTCTGATGTACTCGCAGTAGGCGCTTTTCTTTACCACTTCTAACTGCCGCACACAAGACACGTACGCCAAGCGGGACTGGATCTCCGCCATGTCGGGCACCTGTTCATACGAGCACTTTTATTCATGCTAAAAGCTACCAGGATTCATAATTACTGGCATTAAAAACATGATTCCAGAAACGTAAACACAACAAATACCAAACATGTCATCTTTATTTCAGTGGCTACCAGTGTCTTAATCGCTGTACCTTCACTTTCTCTGCCCAGGGATTGATCCGTTTCCACAGCAACCACCAGCCAGACAGGCAGTCACCGTAGTTACAGAGGTCAGTCTCATCCTGGCTACCCACATCAATGGCAATGACGGTTCTGGCACCCATGTTCCTTGCGATATCCGCTGTTGGATGTTTTTCACACACACACAGATGTTTTAACAGTCTGACAAAAGCAGCATCGAGGAGGAGAAGACGATAAGGGGTAATATCGGTTTCAGCAGACTTGCACCACAAAAACTTCAGTTTAGGCCGACACACTCCAGAGCGCTTCAGGCCAATTAGAGAAAACGCTGAAATCTAGAGAAGAAAGCTGCTTATTATCCCGTCTAACAGGCACAGAGCCTGAAGTCATGGATTTCTCACTCAGTGTTAGATGCAGACTTGTGCCAGCACCCATTTTTGTGGTGTTGAGCCAATTTAAAAAGACAGAAACAGGAAGACGTCCAACAAAAGCAATGAAACTTTCAGCCAAGAAATGCTGTAAAGGGCAACAGATCCAGTTCAGACTATTACAGGGTAACATTAATAAAATAAATAAAGTTTGGGTTTATCAGGACTTTCTGTAGCTGGATCAGTCTTTGGGATTCTTATTTCTGACTTTTTAAATTATTATTTAAACATTTTACCAAAACAGTCAAAAGTACACAAACAGACTTGGGGGGATTTTTTTTTATCTGCAGTGCACACCAGAATAAAAACTACAAAAAGCTCATTAATTACACAATAAAATATTTACATTACTTTAATCTTATTTAATGGTCAGCAGATAAAAAAAATAACATCTCCCGTCAGTGTGAACAAACAGGAAAAAAACAACAAATACGGATTATAAAATCACATTTTTGTAAATGCGGGGCTGGGTGATGGGTTAGGGTTTATGCGTCACATAAGATTAAAAATGAACAAAGTGTAACTCTTGGTTATGATTTAAATGCCCAGGTAAATCTGAAATATTAATTATTTAAAAAGCTGAATTCATTTTTTTGATGATTTATTTTGATTCATCACATGATCACGAATCAAAATAAGGTGGTCCATATCACCCAGCCCTATTAAAAAAAACATCTAACCCTAAACATGGAAAATTTGAATATATTTCCAAACAGACTGGTGTCTAATGCTGAGATTTATTATGATGGTACTTCTACATCAGAGAAAATTTCATCCAGTCTGTTTTGAATCTGACACCAGGCTGTTTAGCAAAGAAAGAAAGAAAAATCACCTTGTTTAATCAAAATCCCTTTATATTCAATAAATGATGCAGACTTTTCCCAACTTAGAAACGTTTTTTAACCTATAAAAAATTGACAGTGATGTCATTAAAAAGTTTAAATCAAAGAAAGAATCAAGATCAGGATCTGGTTGTTTTAAACAGAAAATAGGTGTTTATACTGATGGAAAACTTTTTTACATCTCAACTCTTTTTTCATTCAAAAAATACTTGACTAAAGATCTGAAGTAGCTCAATATCTGGATTGGGAAAACTCAGCACAATCACATTAGTTCCCTCCACTAAACCTCCCCTCCGATCTATTTACTTACCTAGCATTTACCATTAAAAAGATCACCCCCCCAACCCAAACACATAGCCTCTTCATCCATCACTCTACCTCCCCCCTCCTCTAGGAAACAGGAGTTGGGTAGACGTTGGGAGAATTACTCAGAATTCCAGTTGGAGGGGTGGTTTGGGGTGCTGCGGCGGTGGGGGTCACCACCTGTACTTGCCTGGTAGGTTGTTGATGTAGCCACCATCCATAAGCAAGTTGCCATCTTTGGGGTCGCAGAGGGGCGGCAGGTACCCCGACAGGGTCATGCTCGCCCGCACATAGCGCCACAGAGAGCCTGGCACACCAGGGAGGGAAAGGGAGAGGAGGAAGGGGAGGGGGGATAACATCTCAATAATGTTTGCTTAACATTTCACATTAGTGTCGACACAGACCTCAATCCAAACGCTAGAGGGGGATCAGCCAGGGGAGGTAGCCGGTCCCTGCAAAGGTTAGGACTGTTGTGCTGCAAACCTCAAAACCTAGCTCTGAAGTCCATGTGACTTCTGCAAAGTTAGAATAGGAAACGGCAACAATCACAGGGAAAAGGTCTGTTTGATCTTCAAACAATGTCCCATCAACAGTGCTTTCTGCATATTTGATTCTTGGTCAACATCCTGCAATGTCCACAGCTACTGAAGCAGCAGCCAGCTGCAATAAATCTGAGCTGACTCCCACTGTGTCTAGAAACAAAGCAGCAGCAGATGTTGATGGGACGGCGTTTGCAGATCTCTCACCGTGAACATGGAAGAGAAGCAACCAGCCTACCCAGTCCTGCAGAGCAGCTAAGAGCCAGCAGGGGGCAGGAGCAGGCCAGATGCTGCACGGGTTGGAAGGATAAGGAGCACCACAGAGAGAAACCAGGGGTGCCAGTTTATGTGGAGCATATCTATGTGCTATGGCAGAAAATTCTTACTTAAAATCTGACTGAAGGATCATCCACTTAACAGAAAATAAATCCCTCAAACTCATATTGATCACATAGCCTAAGTGTTTTAAGTTTTGTAAGGGTCTAAGGTGTGCAACAGCACGATCCAGAACACATATTCCCAAATATTCACAACATGTTGATATAGCGATAAGAACTGGCATGCAGATAAAAGAAAGCAAAGCCAGGGATGAGGATTGGTGCTGGCTGGGTAGGTGAGGCGTGACATGTTCCTGTAGGCAGAGGTGACTGACATGAAACAGGAGAAGGACACGCTCACAGGAAACGAGCTGCAGTTCGGTCCCCAGGACAGACACATTTAGATCCACTGGAATACACGCTGATCATGTTGTGTGTCTTAGCTCTTCGCTAGCAAAACATCAACGTCATTTACCTGCTTTTATAACACAGGTTAGGGCCTATTTTCAAATGCTAAAATCATCTGATCATCCAGATCAGTCAAACCTACTCTGGCAAAACAAGTTACTATGTCTTTGTGAATTACTGGCAACACGAGGAAGAGCAGTGGCGTATGAAGACACCAGTTTTCAGGAGCCCTTAGGGCGACTTATTTAAGACCATTTTCTGCCTATAATCATTATCTGTATTACTGATTAGTTTCCTGGATGGCTTCTGTTGGAGGAATAGTGTTTATGTTCTTAAGGACTCATGAGCTAGACTGAGTCAACCCAGAACTAAACTGGATTAATGTCCTCTTACAACAGCTCCAGACTAAGGCTGGGCGAAATCTAGAGTTTTTCTAACAGATAGACCCCTAGCCCCCTCTTATCTGTCTGAGCTATTGGTGTCTCATTATCCAGGTCAAGCTCACGTATGCTTTAAACCCTTCCTACGCTGAAACCCTGAAGGGAAAGAGCGTTGTCTGAAGCTCAAAATGTGGAACAGTCTTCTCTTTAATTTTAGGGCTGCTCTATCTTCAGAAGCTTTAGAAACGCCACTGAAGACTTACTTCTATGAATTGGTGTATCTATTTTATTATATTTTGGTTATGTCATTTTTAATCTTTCATCTTTTTATGGTTGATAGGATGTCATTGCATGTTTTGATCTAATTTTATTGTCTTAATAAACATGTTTTAGAAATAAATTTAGCCTTGACCTTGATATTTAGCTCAAAAAATGATGACAGATGACGTTTTGACTCTTTGAGGGCCTGATATGCACTGCATGCAGAAATCCATCAATCACCGTTCTTACTTGTGTTACAGGAGCAGAACCACGACCACCATGGGTTTTCGAGTGAGTTATTGTTTTCCATATTTCATGGGTTAATTGATGCATCAACCAATAATGTTCTGCACTGCAATTGGTTCAAAATACACATGAGAGAATAGGGAGAGGATTGGAAGTTATGACGAGAAAAAAACTAAACTGAAGAAAAATTTGAAGGATTTCTGTAGTATTATTAGATTGTGGAAAAATTAATCGGCGCATTTTTGTTACACTAAAGGGTTTGAAAATGCAGTATTTGTTCAAGATGGCTCTTTTCTGTGAAAGATACGAGACTTTTAATGATGACATGGACTTCATTTTGAATTTCCTGGTAGTTTAACAAAAAAACAGTGATCGTGTCTACAGTTACAGTTGCATCTTTGACTAGTGTACATCTTTTGAATCACAACAACCCTATAATGTGAAACATGTACATGTACATGGAGTGATGCAAAATAATTTCACTGATTTGAGCTAGAAGTATGTATTTTTCCCATCGGCAAGACCAATATGTAGGCATTAAAAAAACATCGTTTTTAAATAAGACGATCAGTGATGGGCTCGGCCCATCGACAGTGGTCGACTAATTTATCCAGTCGCCCAACCTTATTCCAAATTCCAGAATGTCATAGTTTGCCGATGTCAAGTTGATATTTATGAATACAGAACTTTACAAAGGCTGCTCGTACTTCATCAACCCTGGTAGACAAATGTTAGGAATTATTCCACTGAAACACATTTCGAAACACCCAAAGATGCCTTTTACGTCTGGGATCTGACAGATGTTGCATAGCTAGAATAAGTTTCCACAAAAGGAAACGGGAGGAGGTGTTTTATGAAAACATTACAAGGCAAATTGGGCAAGAATAAAATAGGGAGGAACTAACATATCGAATAAGTCTTTCCTTCCAAACCATGGGCTCCCAGTGTCCACTTGGTCATACGGGGGTTAGTCAAGAATAAAGAGGAAGGTTGCTAAGGGGGTTCACTTACGGACGAGGGGGAGTGAAGGAGGATTTTAGTGAGTGGGTGTTTAAAATCTGACCTGGGACATTGTTAACATAGCAACCATCCACAAGCAAGTGGCCATCCTTGGGGTCGCACAGGGGAGGTAAATAGGGGGTGTAGGAGGCGCTGGCTCTAACATAGCGCCAGATGCAACCTGTCAGGAGATGGAGATGGAGAAGGAGGGACACATCAAACATGAGCCGGACTCGCATCACAGATGGAAAAAGGAAACCAGAGGGACAGTGAAAAAAACAGAAGAATGAGAGAAGATCTAAGGAACCCAGAAGAGAAAAAAGAAGGGAATATATTCCCAACAATAGTTATTTATGCCTAGAAATTCAACTAAATGCAAAATTTGAAAGGAGTCATCTGAATGAAGAAAACACCATAAAATCGCTTTACAACCAATCAAATTACCATTTGATTACTAGAATATGAATAGAGAATAAACTAGAACCTGACATTCTGCCAGGTTGATGTGTTAAGATCATCAAAATAGCATTAGTGCTGTTAGATAACAGGTTCAAAAAGAGCAAGGTGGAAGCAAAGAGAACACGAGGGACAGGGAGACAGAGGAGACCATCATCTTTAGACTGCAGGACAAAAAGTTATCAAAATAGGGGATTAAGGGAAAAATCTGTGCAGTCTCAGAAAATCCAAACCTCGAGTGAAACCAAGAGAATAAACACAAAAGCGTGTCCCTTTGATCCGTCAAAATAACACTACCTTACATAAATGTGGGACGACAGGAAGCACAGAATGGAGGTGAAGAAACTATGTAAGCAGCAGAATGGGACGCCATTTATACGCAGGAAGGGAAAGGGGAATGGAAGTGTTCTGGATCCTACGTGTTGACACAGACATGAGAGGGAATTTATTATTTTAGATTTAGTATCCATTCTGGTTTTTATGCCTATGGAGGAGCATTCAGGCGATGTCCACATTTTTATCTGATCACAGGGTTTTAGACAAACGCAGACAAATGTGATGAAGACAAGACAATGGAAAAATGTGACAAATTCAGAAGTTTATCATATGAAAAGGAAGAAAGGATATAAAAATAGTAAAAAGAAAATAAATGAAGAGAAGATTGAAGGGGGGGTTGCTCCAGCAGTTAGTTTTAACTCGAGCCAAAATGCAAACAGCAGCATTCGTGGTTTCCCTGCAGGACTTCAGCCCTGCAAACTCAAACTCCTCAAACCCAGCAGCCTGCCTCAATAAAAACATCAACTTCACTATTGAACTAGCAGTGTTCAAAATTGATGTCAAATAAGGCCAATTATAGATTTGCATTAAAGTGTTGAGGAAGCAAGGCTCTGGAGTTGAAGGGTTTTATGGAGAGTTACAGAGATCTAGTTCAACTCATGTTAGTGATGGTGCAGTTTAATGCAATTCAAACAGAACACCTAATCAGCAAATGCAGACACACACACACACACACGTGTGTGTGTGCAGCAAAAATTCATAGCAATGTGGCTTGTTTGTACTTAAAGAATTTATTCCACCTCCAGGCTAAATGCAGCATTTTCAGACTAAAATGTGAGATAACATCACTTCTCTGTTTTTATCTCTTTGCTGTTCCTATTTGAGATTTAGTTTAGAATTTAAAACCTTAATGTCATGTCTCACTACATCTCAGATTTACTGCCCTGGTATGTACTCTACTAACTATCCCAAAGGTCGGTGTCTGTGACTAAGCGCCAACAGATTTTGTCATATTGTGACAGACTGTACCAAACGGTACTTTCCAAAGATTGACTCCATCATTTCTTAAATGACAGTTTAAGACTCAGGCAGTAAAAGGGGTCTAGCAATATTTCATCCAATTATGTATATAAGCAGTTTCCTACACCTATCTCCTGCATTAGCTTCTGATGGGAAATAGATGGTGAATCTCTAGGATTTGAAAAGCTTGACAGATCTACGTCACGCTGTCACTGTGGACTCATCCATCTTGGCTCGCAACAAAGAAGGCTGTTGTTGGTTTAGCGTCCAAGAAACAACAAAAAATGTCTCGACTAGTAGAAGCTAGCCATTAGCATTAGCAATTCTACCACATAGCAGAACTTCTCCAGGCTTGAGTTATTTGTAGAGATTAAAAAAAATATATATATATATATATATATATATATCAACGTTGCAGAGCAAACAGAGTCGTGTTGCTGTTATCCAATCCGAGGCGAGATGTCCAAATTTCAGGAAATAAGACTTTAAATCCTGTTGTCTGAAGCTACTTTCTCCCCCAGCTTAGCCCCCCCCCCCCCCCCCCAGTGTAAGACTTACAAGGCATTCATTTGTACTAGAGACGCCTACATCATATCACAGTACAGGTAAGACAATCACTTTTATGGGTTGCTAAATAAATCATGCATAATTCCTCAGAAGGGGAAAACTCCACATTGCTGCTTTAACTCAGTAGGATGTTTGACGTTTCTGTTTTTATGTCTTTTTACTGTTTAACTCATCAGCAACAAGAAGGAAATAAACATGATGTGTTAGTATTGGCCCAGTTTTACATATCAGACCAATACCGATATGATAAATGACCAACATCAGCCGACCGTGATGTTGATGCACGCGTGTTTTATGTAAATGTATTTTATCTTACTCATTTCTTTTTCCAAAGCTCTTGGTAACACCTTCATGTAAATGCTGTTTTATTTATTACTGACTGAAATAATTATTTAAACTCTAGCTTTGAGCCAAGTGGAGGTTAGGTCCAGGTATTCTAAATTGCTGCACTACTTCTGTTTTCCTACTAATTTTAACTTAAAATGAATCAATATGCCTTCAAAAAGTGTTGATGGTTGACTGAATGCAACAAAATGCAATTATATTTGTTTTAAATGCAAATATAATGTAGGGGCTAATGGTATTCCGTCATTCAAAGCACAATAATCTAAATGTTCTTAGATCATGCTCTGGCTATCGATTGGTAATCCACATGAATGTATGTAAAACTAGGACCACTATAAAACACTGATAAAATACCAATAACATTAAAAAGGTTTGACGGTGCTCAGCTCACCATCCTGGTGAACCCGCATGGACGAGGCCGTGATGTCTGTGGTCACGTTGAAGTACGGGAGCCATAAGTCCTGCAGACACAAAAACACTTCAGTGTTACAAAATCTGTCACTTTGGTTCTGATGATGGATTTTTGTAGCAGTTAACTTGTGTGATTTGCAGCCGCTCACTTCGACTTGCTTGTCCTGAAACACCTTGTAGATGCTGGTGTTGAAGGCAGAACCAGAGAACATGGAGGTGATGGGATAGGTGAGGTCTAGAACTGTTTTAAAAACTGAATTCATTGCCTGTTAAACCAAAAATGCAAAGAAATCACACATAAATGTAGCATTTTTGTTTGGAGTTCTGAATATTGCTTCTTAGTAGTAATCTCGTTGCTATTATCTGAAGGTTTTTATGATGCAGACGTGCGCTGCCTGTACCTTGGACCACTCTCTGGCTCTCTGTTTAGTTCGAACAGCGCTCCTCTCCTCAGCATACAGTGCACCAATAAACGAGCCAATCGACGTCCCTCCCACTATGTCGATAGGAATTCCTGCTTCCTCCATAGCTTTGATCACGCCCACGTGTGAGCAGCCTCTGCAGCAGAAATATAAACATGTTGGGTGACACTCCGATGCACCAAAAGATTAGCGGCATTCTCATGCAATCCCAAACACAAAGGTCTATTTAGAGATGCTAAACGTGTTTTTGCAATGGCTCACATCTGATAATCCCTGCTCACCTTGCTCCACCTCCTCCCAGCACAACCGCGATAGTGTTTCCAGTCAGGACCCGGGCCAGCCGAGAGAAATCGCTGTGCCTGTCTGCGGTTTTCTCAAACACTTTCTCGTAAACTTCCCTCTACACAAATTTAACAGAAAAAAAATCTGATATTTTCCACCAACATCTCTCAAGACCTGAATCATGCATATATAAATACTTTCTCCATACCAGTTTCGAGGGGCTGCGTCTGGAGAAAACCCTGCGGGGACACTTGAGGTGGAGGTGTCCGGAGCACCAGCTGCGCATGTTGAGCCACTCGACTGTCCTAGATGGACCGGGTCCATCCTCTCTGTGAAGAAGGACCAGCTTCTTCAGAGCTCGGACCGCCGTGTTCTCCAGCATCTGCTCCAGCTAGAGGAAAAGAGACAAGTGAAGTTAGAGTTAAGCAGTTCCCACAAGGGAAAGCTCCACTTGCAAACACATACTTCACCCAGTGTCGGTTCCTGGTCCCCCAGGCCAACTATCAGGATGCAGTCAGCCTGGCGGATGCAGCGTTGAGTCCATGGAGTCATGCTGTTGTCAGTCTGGTACAAGACAATTCGATTGATGTCCTCCTGCTGGGCCAGCCAGCCAGAGAGACGATACTCATGGATGCTGAAAATATAGAGGAGAGATGAGGAAAAGCATTTAAATTCATAAAACAGATGACAACTGAGAAGAATGAAGAATCCTATTTTAAACAAAAAATAGCCGGTCTAGCTAGTAATACGGTTTCTTTAAAAAAAAATCATTGCACAATGGCCAGGGAAGAAATTTACAAATGGTTATGAGGTCATCAATGCATCAGAAATAAATAAATAAATAAATAAGCATAAGGAGAATATGGAAAACAATTACATTTTACCGATAAACTCTTCTGATCATTTAAACTGACCTGTCCAGAGCAGACGCTCCCAGGCGCTCTCTGATGATGTCACTGGTTAGAAGTAGAGTGGGCCCTATGAGTGTCAAGAGTAAAAATAAATGAGAAAAGAACTTTTACATGCATTTTAGGGTTCCTTCATTGTTAATACAGTGGTCCCACGCCATAACCTTTCGCTTTCGCAGATTTTTTGTGTGTTCCGCATCCAGAAGATCTGAACTTCGTTTAAATAAGAGTGAAAACTGTGAAAATGTTGATGCCCATGCGAGGAAAGTGTATAAAGTGTGTAGTGAGGGTTTTTACTGCCTTAAAACGTTGTGGTGGTGCGTTGGGACGAGTACGTCTGCGGGGAGAGGAGAGCGGCTGTGTCAGCGAGAGTGCGCTGTGCTATGGCTGGAGCTCATTAGTAATAAGAGCTCCTGTGTATTTATTTACAGGAGGAGGAGTCACGAGTCTCTACATTGTGATGTCAAGAGCCTGAAACGCTGGAATGAGTGTATGCAAATAAAACTGTTCACCCTTCCATGCATGCTGGACATTTAATTGTCTGGTGTGTGTTCATGTATGTGTGACTCCAATCGTAACTGCGTTCGCTACAAACATCTATAATAACTGTAAAAAAAATCGAAGCTAACTACTTTGCGGGTTATTTTCAGAATGCAACTCCCACGATAAACGAGAGACCACTGTATAGCCAATCAGGATGCTCCTTTGCAAATTTGTAGTAGTCCAAGACAAAAAAGTGACATATTCAAGTGAATGAGGCTACGCTACCAATGGCACTGAGGGCATGGCTAAGCTCCAAGTTGAATGCGTTTATGGGAACCTCATCACACACAGGCAGCACAGCCACAGTTGAGAGGTTACTAGCTGGGTTTGTTACATCGGCACTTGTTGTCATACTGGGCAAACTGAGGCCTGGACCTAAAAGACAGAGACACAACGTAATGATGGAACATGAAACAGCAAGGAGAGAAACAGACAAACAATCTTACCCGAGAATGGCCCACGACCCTGCTGGAGGTTCCCCAGAATCTTCTGACCTAAGAGGTGGATCAGCCTCGTCACCACCTACGTTAAAAACATTAATGAGGTATTAGATTAGGTATCAGCCTGTACAGAGACTTCACTGACCAAGTCACTGACCTGTGGATAGCGTCTTTTAATGTTGTTCAATGTTCCTTCTGGCAGCTTGACCAGCTCCGTGTCTCTAACAGCGTGGACGGTGGTGGCTCTCGGCTGCTTGGTCAAGGCCTCCACCTAAAGCAGTGAGAACAAAACAACAATGTGCAGGCTGACTCCAGAGAACAAAAGGTGGCATCATTCAGGGTTTTATTGGTGCATTAATGCAGAATAAACTTCAGACCAACATAGGTTCTTACCACACCGATTAGGTCTCCTCTACCGTATTCACCAACCAGCTCTTTCTTGCCATTTGCTTTGCGAATGACTGAACGCAAACGTCCATTCAGAACAATGTAGGTGCAATCTGATTGGTCATCTTGCCTGTGGAAAACAGACAGATTTTAATTGCATCCAGTATTTTATTTTTTTATTTAACCTTTATTTTACTAAGATAAATCATCCATCCATCCATCCATTTTGGGCTGCTTATCCAAAGCTGGGTCGCAGGCAGCAGCCTACGCCGAGAGGCCCAGACTTCCCTCTCTCCCCAGCCACTTGGACCAGCTCCTCTGGAGGAATCCTAAGGCGTTCCCTGGCCAGCCGAGAGACACAGTTCCTCCAGCGTGTCCTGCGTCTTCCTTTAGGACACGCTCGGGCATCCTAACTAGATGTCCGAGCTACCTCAACTGGCTCCTCTCGATGTGGAGGAGCAGGGGATCTACTCCGAGCCCCTCCCAGATGACAGATTTTCTCATCCTATCTCTAAGGGAGAGCCCAGCCACCCTGTGGAGAAAACTCATTTTGGCCACTTGTATCCGCAGTCTCAGTCTTTCGGGCATTACCAAAGATCGACCGGTAAATCGAGGGCTTTGCCTTCCGGCTCAGCTCTCTCTTCACCGTGACAGATGCTGCAGCAAGATTAGTCAAGAAACTGAGAGAAAGGTAAGTCTCAAAACAGCGTACAGTGTCCATTGAACCCCACCAGGACTGCAAGGGGCAAAATCTGGACCAAGACCCTTCAGGGGAACTCTCCATATCTGGATTAGTGAAGAAACTGGGAAAAAATAATGACCTGACCTGACCCCTGACCCCATTTCCAACGTGGGAGGGTTAAAGCACTTTCACTAAAAACAGTTCTTGACCGTGGGGTTCATACAGAATGTGCCCATAGGGCCACAGGTTACAGCCTGTGTTGGAACTAGGAACCAGGTGGGAGCACAGATAAAGAGGCAGTTCACATAATACAGTCTTAAAAAGTAACATTTACCAATGTACCAACCTACGATTGTGTAAAGAAAACCAAACAACAGTCTCATACAAATTACAGTGATGAGTACGGTAACCAGAATTTGATACAAATCTCAGCACTGAATGGTATACAGAATCCAGTGTCTTCAAAAGAGACCGACTGGCATGCGTGAATAAAACATCACCATAATCCAATATTGACAACAATGTAGATTGAATAAGCTTTTTCCTCACAAACAGGTTTTGTTTCGATAATAAAAAAGTTGCAGATAAGAGCAATCACAGCAACGTATGTGTAAATAAATAATTGACAAAAACTGGTGATGAGAATTTCTTTGGAAACAGATTCTTTTATAATCTGCAGTAAAGGTGGTGCTACCTGTAGAGGGCTCTGCCAGCCTCAACAGCCATCCAGTCGATGGCGAAGTCCATCTGTCTGACAAAAGCAGACATGCGGATGGCCACGGTGTGGGCCACACTCAGCACCACGCTGGGTTGCTCCCTCATGATCCTGCAGGGGGCAGCAAACAGGGCAGGAACACAAATAATATCTTAAATCATTCTAAAATATTCATAAAATAGAGAAAAAAATAATAAATCTTTTAACTACAAATATAATCGTAATTACTACATTTTTAATTAATGGATTATTAGTGCATTGTACAAAGCAATGACAGGAAAAACAAAAGACTCACTCATAGAAATCGGACTTGGAGATCTTCAGGTAAGTACAGTCTCGGACAGCCTTAATGGTAAAGATGAGCGGCTCTCCGGTGAGCACGGCAAGCTGGCCAACCATCTCTCCTGGGTGGGTCACGAACAAGCAGACAGCCTCCTGTTTGTCGATCATCCGCTGGTAGACATGAAGGCAGCCGGACAGGACAAAGTGTAGACTCACGTCCTTTAAACAAGAGGAAATTTTAGTGTCTTTTATCTGAACTTTCTACATATAAAGCCTCTACAAGTAACTTCCATACCTGGTCTCCCTGTCTGGCTAAAACAGCTCCAGCTTTGGCATTATGCAGAGTTGCTTTCCCGTTTAGCAAACACGGGTCCTGGATTAGAAGACAAACTATTTCTCAGTTAAACAAAAACAAAATATGAGGGACAGAGACAGAATTCAGTGACTACAGATCTCACCAAACACACTCTGATCTGGTCCCGTACATGTTTTGAAAGATTTAGTGGTGTAACAACAGAATATTACATAAACAAAATATGCACAACATCCTCACTTAGATGTGCTTTCTTAAAGTGACAGAGTGTATTTTCCCTGGCGATAGGGGGCAGTACACACCTAAACCATTGCAAGCAAGCATTATTTTTGTGTTCAAGTGAGACCTTACCAACAGATGGCGATTAGAGTCAAAAATCCTTGGGAGTGCAAACTCCAGCAAAATAACAAGAACAACAGATTCCTTTTCACCACTTGCAATGAGTGAAGAGGTAAAAGTGTAAAGGAACATGTATTAATGCTGAAAGTTTTGTAACCATTTGTTACAACTCAGATAATGCATTCTGTCTTCATGGACATCCATAGAAGGAAACATGGCATCCAATATTTCTTTATTTCTTTATTTATTGAGAACCTCATTAGCTCACACCATAGTGTGGAGCTATTCTTCCTGACGCCAATATGGCGAAGCCCAGAGACTTAGACCCACTCCCATGCATTTTAGACCCGATTTTTATGGTTATATGTTATGAAACCACCAATATTTTTCAACAACTGGGTATCTTTTAATTTATTTACAACATTTCAATGGATATTTTCAGAGATTAATGGTAAAAACTACACATTGTCACTTTAAGAGTTAATGCATTAGTATAAAAGGTCATTTAGATTTAGCCAAAAACAAAAATACTGGCATGTTTTTTTTTTTTAGAATTTTGCAGCTTAGGTAAAAAAAATTAAATAAAAAGTTAACTGAGACATGAAAGGAGAGTTTACCCACAATCTACTCTAAAGTTTTGTGAAATTAAGTCAGTAAATATCTAATAACACACCAGATCCGTTTTTAATAAAAACTACGGGTGGGAATTTAACACGTTAATTATGATTAATCAACAAACACTTGAGCCTGAGCTCCTCCTAATTTGGATCCAAAACATTTTTGCATCACAATTTATGCCCATTATATCAATAAATAATATTAAGCTGCACCTCTAAAGAACTGCAAACTCTTGGCTAAAAGATCATTTAAAACGTTTTTTATGTGCTCCAAACACAACTAAAAACTACAATTAAATGAATCATGGCAAATTGCTCTTCGCAAAGAAAAAAAAAAGTAAGAAAAAACAACTTTTCTACTGTGATGTTTTCTAGTTGGTAGAAAGCAAACCAGCAGTAACTTTATCCATATAAACTTTACTACAGCAGGAGGGACGATCCAACACGCAGCATTCATCTTGTAACCCTCAGCAGAACTTCACTTGAACTCTACACTACAACTCTATAAATATTGGCAGTGCTCTGCTGCCATCTAGTGTTCAGTACACAACATTTACAATGCTTCAAGTCCATTTATACTTAATCTAAAAAATATTTACTAATTATTACACATCCCAACAAATTCCACAATGGTTACCTTTATGATGAGACCAAAGTAAGTAAACAGACCTTGTTGTAACAGAAATATACTCATTAAAGTGTGAATATGTCATATGAGCCTCACTAACATTATTTTAATAAAAAAAAACTGCTTGGGGGAAAATGTCTTAAACAATTAAAATGTGATCAATCAAGACAAATCAATTACAAAGTCCCAGATTAATTAAACAAATTTTTATCAAGTTTCACCCCTAATAACAGCTAAATAAAACTAAATCCACCCTCATGATCTCTAAAGAAAGATGTTAATTTAATGCTTTGATTAATTGATCATTAGTAAGTGTGAACAGCTCTGTAAAAGTAGGAGTCTTTCAGTCCCAGTTAATCTGGGAAGGGTTTGAATCCCACCTCATCATTCTGCAGAGAGAAAGGTCCTCCATAAGTGGGAAAAATAAAACCTGATAGTAGGAGTTCATAGGATAGGAGTTCATGCCCCAATTCTGGTACCACAGATTTTTTTTTCCATCACTTTACCGATCAGTGGTTCCCAGACTTTTCAGCTTCAGACCCATAAAAAGCAATTGTCGAGACATACAACCCCAGATATCTTGGATTTAACTGCTTCAGCTCATATTCACTTATATCTATTTATGACAATTTAGTTGAGTTTTTGTAACAGTTGTGTTAGAAATATGGCTTTAGTGACCATTCTTCATTTTATTTTGATTTCTGGAAATCATCTCAAGACCCCTGTTTAGATCTTGGTGACCCACAGTGGGATCTCCTGACGTCAACCTTGGGAACTACTACTCTAGAGGACAGGTTTGAAGGGATAATAGGCAGTTTTGGTTTGCTTTTAGCGCCCTCTAGTGTATGTTTGTAGAACAAAAACCAATCTCCTCTCTGTGCGTTCATCTTTTTAACACCTTAATCTAAGGCCTGACTTAGTCTTCTCAGTCTGCGTTGGTGCAGAGACACACGACGCCATTATGCGTCGGCGCAAGGGCTTTCAAACAGGCTCACAGAGGGTGACAGAGACGTGCCCAAAATTTTAAACATCCGTCAAAAGTGACATAGACCGCAATCTTATGACTGGTCAGGATGCCACTTCCTGTAAATTTGTCACCAGCCCCACCGTTGCCCCGTTGAAAAGTAAAAAGATATTTAGCGACAGACCCAGGACAGATTAAAGAATGCATCGCGGAACAAGTTCAGAAATATGAACGTTTGTTCACCCGTGACTGAAAGAGTACAAAATACAGAGCAAACAAGGACAAAATGAAGGGAAGTGTGTGTTTAGAGGTGGCGACCACATGAAGAGGTGAAGGACAAATTTGTCCGTGTTATAAAGTCTCTGAAATAAGTATACATATACAAATACAGGGTATATACAGCAATCCTTAAGTAAAATTTACTACTTTTTAATACCTTTTTTACTACCTTCAGAATTTTTTTAAAACCATCACAACACTAAATTGCAAGTGTTAATCAGCGACCTATTTACACATATTTTAACATATATAACATACAAAAAGAATAGACTTAGAGACTCACTGATGTTGACAACGTATTGCACATATTTATTTTACTTAGAAAATAAGCCAGGCACTTCTGTTCAGCGGTTCAGACAGTTGACTACGAGGCCTGAAATGATGCACAACGACCACTGAATATGACGTCATCATTATGTGACCGGATATGCTAAAGTAGGGCTGCTCGATTAAGGCAAAAACAATAATCACTATTATTGTGACTGAAATTGAGATCTCGATTATTTAAGACGATTTTTCAATTCATGTAGATTTTTTATTTTATTTTTTTATTCAGTCATAAAATTGCTCAGGGCTAGAGCTGTGGCGACGCATCGATGACGTCGACGGCTCGATTCTAAAAATTCGTCGACGTCAGATCCGGTAGTCAACACACCGCGCCCACTTGTTGCATCCCCAGGAGTTTGTAAATGGAGGAGGAATCTGCCTGTTTTTCCTCTAGTTCGCCCTCTTCTCCACCTTCACTAACATCTCCGCCAAATACCGAAGACCCGGAACAATGTCCGTCTGCTGCTAGATTCCTTTCCCGTTTTGCCCGCCTTCGTCTCCCGGCAACGGACAACAACTTCCGGGGTCAGATGCGCTGCTTTGTCTCTATCGCAGATGTAGAAAATCACCGGGAGCGTTTCTCCCTTCATAAAGGAGCTTCTTTCAGACATGAGGAGAGCTGTTTTGGTGGTAGCAGTCTCTCCTCCATACTGGTCTGTTTGCTGCTGGGTATTTTTGGTTTATTTAAACTTGGTAACTTGAATTTAATGTTGGTAAAGCTACTGTTAGCATTTTCGCTAACAGCTTCTTGCGTTTGGATAAGCGGTTACGTTTTGGTTTAGAGTTCATCTTTTTTGTGGTGCAGATCTCCCTTTTTTTACATTTAGAGTGTTGTGGGTTTTCGATTTAGTTTAAAATATCACCTTAAGTTTGGTTTAACCGCCCAGTTTAGAGTTTGGACCTTTGGAGATCCTTATTTTGGTCCAGAACCCAGTAATCGTTGCCCAGTGGGACATCCCAGGTTATTTGTACTTTTGTTTTAATTTCCCACAGGCAGAATTAGTTTTATTATTCCCAACCTGTGGATGGAAATATTTATGTTATTTTGTAGTTGTGAATAAACCTGATCATCATTTTAACTTCTAAATCCCGTTATTGTCCCTTCCTTTTTGCACACGAGCCAAACTCCCCAGGAAGGATCACACCACTCACCTCACGCACATAAGTGACCAAAACAAAGCAGCATGGAGACACTCTGTCTCCAACCACCTCTCAGGCAGCAGCCTGCACTCCCAACCTCTACAGTCACCAGAACATAACCAACCACAACACAATAAAAGCAGTGTTATACAGAATGGAAGGCCTGTAGTGTTTATTCTCTTACAGTAACAATTTATCAATTTTTTGGAAGAATTTATTTGAGATTTTTTGGTTTTTATTAATTGTGCAATAGAAAAATAATCGCTAGATTAATCATCTAAATAGTCATTAAAATAGTCGACTATTCGATAAAATAATCGTCAGAATAATCGTTTTAAAAATAATTGTTTACCCCCAGCCCTACTCAAGGCACAATCAGGGCAAAAATAAACAAGAAACAAGATGATCACTAAAATAACTCCTGATTCCCAGTATAAAAAGACCAATATACAGTACTTATAGC